GCAGGGGGGAGGAACAGAGGGCAGGCGCAGAGGGGAGCAGTGGGGGAGGAGCAGGCTATCTTAGCAGCCTGACTGTGGCCAGGCCTGAGGGCACCTAGGCCTCTAGTAACCTCCAAGACTCATGAAGTTCCGGCAAGTAGGAAACAAAGGAAAGCAAGCACTAGATATATTACTACTGTTTCCATGCAACATTACTTTAAACTAGATTTTGACATTTTTTCATTCTTTTTCACTTACAGTTTCGTTGCATATTATACATTATGGCTACAAACACAGAAAACACCATGTCATACATCCCTTAAACCTAAACTTCAACATTCTTCCAACAGAGTTTTAGTTTCCCATCTGCTGCTCCGTAAGTGTAGCTCAGTCTTGCTACTCTCAGTCATTAGAGCGCTCTCACTTCTGACTGGCATCTTTAGCAATCAGTGATTTATTATAGCTGTGAAAATATTTTTATAACACTTACGCGATGTTGCCACAACGATTTCATACGAAAACGTTGGAGTTTTGTAACTTTCCCGTGAATGACATCAAACTTCTTATCCAGGTTTTGGATGGCTTCATAGATAACCTATTGTGATAGAAACTATTAGTCATTTCTCTTTCAAAAGAAAACTAAAAAATGAGAAAATATGACTAAGCCAAATGATAACTGCTAGAAACAAAGTTCCAGAGTGATCAGACATTGCTTATTTGTCACAGGATGCTTGGCTCTTGGTGACAGGGCAGTGGCTGAGAGGAGGGTCCCAAGCTCCTACTCAGCTGCTCTGCGCCCCACAGCAGCTGAGGCGCCTTCGCCTGGAGAGCGACGTGCCAGCTCAGGAGCCCCCACGCGTATGCAGTCACTTTACAGCAAGGAAGCTGCCTTTTTTCTTAGGGTGACGATGTAGGCTAACGGGCAGTGAGTGGTCCATCCTGGAAAGAACACTGAGCCAAGTGAAACAGGTCTGACTCGGCCTCAAAGTATTTTAAAAGCACACAATTGACCATTAGCCCTACCAAGCCTCTGAGGACACGCTCCTTACATGCCATCGGGTGTGTGTCCAAAAAAACCTAGATGCACAGAGATTTCATTTGGGTAAAACTACATTCAGTAAGAGGCCAGAATCATTCCCTGTTTATTCCTGCATTCTTTCATTCAGTCAACTCACTCAAATAAGCATTTATTATCTCTCAGAACAGCTAAAAACAAGCAACTCCTGCCCCAAAATGAATTCCATTTTAGCTGGAGAGAAAGAAGAGATGACTTCCACAGAGAAAGTAAGTAGTGGCCTGGTGAATCACCTACTAGCATGTCAGAAATGTAAAATGTCCTAGCTCAGATGCTGGCACGGGACCTGAGGGCCAGCAGTGTTTTCACAAGTCCATTGTGGTGCCTGATCCAGTGTGAGAACCACTGGCCTACAGCACTGAGGTAAATATTGCTGGCTCGAGGGGAATGAGGTTGAGGTCACACACTACAGTTCTGTCAAGTAGCTGTGCGACCTTGGGTAAGTCACTAAATCGCTATGTGCTTCCATTTCCTCACATGAAGTGCAGGGGCAGAAGTTTCTGAGTTCTCTTGAGGACTAAGTGAGGTGTTAAGAGTTAGGTCAACACTAGCACGACACTACCACGAGATGACTAGCCTGGTGGAGCTCATGCCGTTGCCATGGTGTGGTGACCTTCACGGCTCTGGTGCAAGTAAGATGAGGCTGAGTGTGCCCGCAAGACCATGACCCAGACTGGCAGTCGTGATGGGGTGCTGAGAGAACTAAAGGATGGAAAGGTGTCTGCTGGGAGGGCCCGCCCGTGCGCACACAGCAGCAGCACCTTCCATTCAAGAATAGAGACAAAAACTGGACGCCAGCTATCTAGAGTATGAGTGACACACGAAGAGCTGGGTTGGGGAGGGGAGCGGAGAGGAGGCCGGCACTAGGGCTGGGAGGCCTGAAGAGGGGATCTCCCCCTAGCAAGCGAGCAGTGGAGCGCCTGCGGAGGGGGAGAGGAATGACTCAGCACCCTCCATTATCTCCATGTAGGAAGAGGCAAGGTCTCAGCTGTCAAGATCTTGAAGAAAATGGGACAAGGAGGTGACCACGGCCTGCTGAAGGGTGACAGAGCAGCGGAGCCAGTGGACCGGTCTCAGCAGAGAACGTCCCCCTGCTTCTCAGCCCGCACAGGGCTGGGGTTTGACCGAAGAGGACACTGGGTGAGGACAGGAAAGAAAAGATGGAAGTTTATGGGAGCTAACGGCAGGGACAGGGTCTGGGATGGGAGGGAGGACTGAGAACAGAGGAGGCCAGGGGGTTAGGGAAAGGCAGGATCCCTGCTGGCCCATTTTGGGGGTGTGACTCTGGCAGCTGGGCACTTCTTTCCTGGCACACTAGATCCTGCCACATCCTGATCCAAGTTCCCTACTGTCCTTGCTCCCCAAGGCAATGCCCGCCTCTCAGTGCTGATGATACAGACTCACTCATGAATACTCGTCACCATTCAAAGCAGGCTAGCTCATTTTATTCAAGAAACATGACAAATTAAGAATCATTTATTTTTGGTAACTGTTCCTTTCTTCTAAAGAATGCAGCTCACAAAATTTCTGGTAATCACACACCTCTATCAACATGCTAATTTTATAAAATCCCCTCAAAGCTATGTAAAATACACTCTAAAAATAGTAGTGGGCTGCCATTTTTTTTCAGTGTACTCAGGCATATACTACATTTCACTCGAACCAAACGTCTTCTTTTGAAGTTTTTCTAGGGGGAATTAATTCAATATTGAGCAATCTAGATGAAAAAGACATATGTCGATTTGATCAGGTGAGGTTTTTTTTTTAAGCTATAAAATCTACACACTATTTCAAAATTTTCATTTGAATATGCTATTTGAATAGTAATTACTCAAATTTATCACAATGGGGTGATTATCAGAAATATTGTGAGATGGCAAAATTTCAATCAATTGTATACTTCCCTTTATATGAGCTAGAAAAATTGGTGTATATATATATATACACACACACACACACATATATATATATATACACACACACACACACATATATATATATCTTTTGTACCTGGCAATGAGAAAGCACGTCCATCACTGTTTTTTGATGTTCTTCATTGTAGGATGCTTCTGATACAGGCTTTTCCTGCTAACATTTCAGAAGTTAAATAGTCAGTGTTTTACTTTTACAAGAGTCAAAGTAAACACTAGGAAAAAACTAAGTTGCTTCTATTTTCACCAACTTTTCAAAGGGTTTCAAGAGCAGAGGCAAAACAGAATAAAAAACCCATGTTAATATGAGAGCAGAAAGGAGAGTACTTATAATCTAGGTTTAGAGTTTTGTAACGAATAAAACCTGTTCTGCAATTTCCTATCACATCATAAAAAGAGAGAGGCAAAATGGTTAAATGCACCACTGAAGAAAGCACACAAATTTAGAAGAGACTAGTACTTGCTGAGCGCGAGTTTAGAAGAGCTCTACAGAAGATGAAGAATTAACGCCTTTCCTTTTAAAATGACTGTGTTAATGTATTTGGCAATGACAACTAATATTACTTACATTATTGGTATGTGCGGTATTTGGTTCATAAGCATAAAGAACAGAGTTATCATCATCATAAGCTGGTATTCGTGTCCTTATCTAAGGAAGATTTATTAACAAATTAAACGGAAAAACAGAACTAACAGCAAAATTGAGGGGTTCAAATTCACTTTCAAGAAGCTCCTAAAGCCCATTTGTGATATCAAAGGAACCTAGCCATTGTCGACCAAGGAATACATGAAAAGATGTACTTGCAAAACTGCTCTCATGTTAACCTGAATGCGCTTAAGACATCATTTTCTGTAGAACTTAACCTCGTCTGTACCTCAGGGTAGAAAAACTAGTCCTCTAGGAAAGACACCAAAATTTCTTTAAAAGCAAGTATTTCTAACCACAGTTACATAGTGTTAAATAATCTGAGTGTTAAATAATCTGACAGCGCCACACTGTGGGCACAACTGGAAACATTTAACATCTAATAATCTAAATCATTTTACAACATGGTGAGGTCCATAAGACAGGCTATAAATAAATACAGTTAACGAATACTACATTTTATTTAACAACTCTTTTAAAATATGAATGCAGGAACAGTTTCAAAATAAACAAGCTTAGAAACTATGTAGGTCTTTGTTTTGAAAGACATGAGTTAGCCTTACGCTGATTAGGTAACCTGATTAGATAGCTAAAATAATGTGGACTGGGCTATAGGTTAGTACTAATTAAAAATGTCATCTCATCCTTGTATAGTGCCTTATGATTTTCAAAGTGTAGTTACATAATTGTGCCAGAAAAAAAAATGCTCTTGGTTGGTAGGCAGTCAGCATTATCTCCAATAATTAAAACCACTGGGGATGAGATCATTTAAAAGAACTGCCTTTATCATTCAGGTGGCATTAATGTCCACATCTTTATATAAATGAAGAAATGTGTTTTCTATAAAGCCTAATTATACAGTTGAGTAATTTATATTTGTATCCAATTTCAAGGTTCAAGAAACATGTCATAGAAATTAAAAACAGCAAATCACTTTGTAAAACTGTTTGATTCTCATAATGTTGTTAAAGTTACATTAGCCCGAAGACCTAGCAATGCAACTTACAAGTATGTACCCAAATAAAGGTTAGTATTTGTTCACAAGCTTGCTTCTACATGAATGTTTGCAGCAGCTTTATGTGTCACTCAAAACTCATCAACGGTACATCTACGATCTACAGACTTCATTGTACGAAGTTAAATTTAGAAAAGAGACACAACACAATGAAAAGGACAAAGACAGTTTGAGATGAATACAAACCACATCGACTTCACTGGAGCCGCTAGACATCTTCCTTGGCAACAGAAGCAACTCTACTTCCTCTGAGTTGGGTCTATTTATTTCTAAATTTGCTGGAGGGTTTTGGGTGAAACTGCTTAGTCACCACTCCTGAAAAACAACACACAAACAGAGTTACTTGACACACTCACTACCACATAAAGTTAACCCTAGAACTGGAGTCCTGGTAGAAGGTTAGGGAATGACAAAAGGAGAAATTTTCTGCCAGTAATTTAGAATAGACCCTTGAAAATCAAAGGTCTATATCGCCCATGCCCAGGAACAAGAATTAAGCTCAAACTCAACTCCAACTTGTCAAGTGAATGCTTCACAACTGAGAGGCTGCAGAGGAAGTGCTGGAGACAAGGAACAAGAGAGCATTCCCAGCTGCTTTTGTGAAGGAGCTTCCCCAAAGGGCTTTTTACTTAGGGAGCAGCAGGTCTCCAAACATGAGGTGAGGTCCACAGCAGTCTCCCACACACAACATGTGCAATGGACAGACCCCTTAAGACGCAGCCTCCTCACCTGCTAGGTGAGATTGGTTTGAATGATCAGGCAGTCATTTCAGCTCTAAGATCATGACTGTCGTCCCTGAATTAATATTAAACCCAAGGGCCTCCCTGGTGGTGCAAGAGGTTAAAACCCAGCACTATGAAGCTATCTGTAGCCATTCCAGCACGAGTTCCATCCCCAGCCAGGGAGCTGACTCACATGGTGCAGCAGACCTCTCCTATTTTGCCCACTGCTCCCCTCAGCAGTGTCTTTCAGTGGATCCACCTGTTCTGCTCCCCACTCCATCTCTAGTAAATCCATCTCCCTCCACCTCTCTGCACTGTACCCCAGTTCTTGTATAAATAAATAAATCTTTAAAAAATTAAAAATCCCCGAACAAATGTATGTGGCATATAAGGCATCTAGAATTATGTAAGCTCGGTTATGCCTCTGAGTCATTTAACTCTGTAGCTAGGAAAAGACTCCCAAGTGCAACGTCATCATACTGTAGTTTGTAATAGAAATTTTAAAATCTGCATCTTAGTCCTGAACCCGGCAAATTCAAGAGAGCTAATTCCTTCATTCACCCTGAGTCAGCGCAAGGAGGGAGCCACAATGAGCTCATGTGTGATATAAATGCAGGCTGGCTCTGCAGGGAAATTCAAGTTCTAAAAACACTGTAACTTCAAATTGTGTTTTTTGAGATGTTCGATTTTCTGATTGTAAGACTAATGTATGACTGACTGAACTGTGGTACTTCCGTGCAAAGGGAGACTACAGCGCAATGAGAATAAATCAACTGCTCTTCCCATGAGGAGAACTCCAGTCGGAGTAAAAGCCAGACACTAAAAAGAACATAGTATATGACTGAACTGAGTAAAAGTTCAAAACCAGGCAAAAGTAACCAGTGGTCTTTCTACAGGAAGCCCAGCCAACACCTTTCTGCACAGGGCGGCCACACGAAGACCCAGCTGGGAGGTCTAAACCAGGCCCAGTAAGTGCTGCTCTCAGAAGAACAATGCAGGCCAGCATCACCACTCCACCTCAGCTCTGACAGCGTAAAGTGACCGAGACTTTCCCTGCTGCGATGCCAGCTCCTATGTACTCCATCCCATACAGTTTCTCTGCAGAAAATTTGGAGTTCACGGATTTTATTGCTTACTCTGTGCTGGGCAGTGCGGATTAGCAGGTCTAGTGACCCTGCCCCTAACTCTGCTGGGCAGGCCCTGTTATTCTGTTTCCCTTAAGAGAAAGTTGAGGTAAAGAGGTTAAGTAATTTGCCCAGCCTGGCTCCAGTCTATGCGCTTTATTTCTTCATTATTAAAACCACCTTGAACCCCTTCTACAATACAAAATAAAATCCAAACTCCTACTGTGGCCTAGCACAACTCCACATTGTTAAACGAATGCCTCACAACTGTGGCGCTACCAGAGGTAGCCGCAGTCAGGACCCACCCCACGCCTGCTCAGAGTCACTTCTGAGCACCGGTTCCCCTGCTCTGAGCCCAAAATGCTTACTTTCTGGTCTTTTATACAATTTACCAACTACTGTCACGGATTCCTACAACCAGACAATGCAATTGCAATGGATTAAGTACAGCACCGCGAGACAGGGACGTGGCTGCTGGGGAACAGAGCAGCAGCACTGAGGATACCCCCAGACACTCCCCTGCACTTCTACTGCCTAGCACATTTATTTACAAATGAACCCGGACCTTGCAGTCTTCAGAACCTCTTGCTCTCGTCATGCATTCTACCCACTATCTCCTGCTGTCTCTACCTAGGAAAACTGATTCAACTTCAAGTTTCATATCCACAAAACAAAAGCGCTGGGTCACCCTACCTGAAAGTGATACTGCTTTCTCCCACGCACCAACACACTCGCACTCGGGGCGTTTTAGGCAACTGCACACACTGGTCATTTCTGAGCAGAACACCAAAGAGCAGCATTAAGATCTTGGGCCTGCGGTCACAACTCTAAGGTTTGGGCCTTAGGTCCTCAACTTAGCTGTCAGGCTTTGGGTAACTTCTGTGGACTTCAGAAAAGTCTGGAAAATGGAGATAATAGTACTGACCTCATGGAGTTAAGAGGGTTCGAGTGTCAAGAACAATGCCTGGCCTGGCAAGGGTGCTCACTTCTGGCTACCATCATTTTATCATTTGGGTACCCACAACATTGGCCCAGCTGAATTATTAGTTATGGAGCACATGAACAGCAAATTTTCAGGGTCATAACAGGTAACTGTCATTCACATTGCACCTGTACACAGCAGATAGAACAACCATTTCTTCTAAACAAATTCTAAGTACCAGCGCATAGTCCAGGAAATAGGACTTTAAGAAATTCTTGACTCCAAATGGCAAATTTTGCTTTTATTTTTAGTCTCTATTTGCTAGCTTATAAAGTGAGAATTAATATCTGCCTCACAGGACTGTGCAAGACCAGATGACAATTATTTAAACACTTAATATCATGCCTGATTCACAGCATGGACAACATAAACTTTAGTTTCTTTTCACTTCTTCCCACAAGGTAAATAACGTTTCTGTAATATTTTCTTAAAGCCCAACCATGGACTAGATTGTAAAAAAATTAAGTAATATAGTTTATCACATTTAAAATCCTGTAAAATGAGTTTACTTAAAACAAAGCTCAGTTGTATTGTAGGACAGAAATCACTACAATAAATAGCAGCAAAGGAGGCAGATTAAAACAGAAAATGTCAAGCTTTCGTTTAAAAACGAAAACAAATGAAACCGTATAAATACACTGAACTATCACTTTTTAAAAAATCCTCCCGGAAGTCTCAAAAACAGCCCTTTTGTCTGTGCCAAATTTTAGAAACTACAAGGCCCCCCAGTCGCGGGTAATGACCCGCCACCCCATCACTCTTGGCAGGCAGGCTGGAAAGTGAATCAAGCCCATGCCTGGTTTTATAAAAACACCGTGCCAAGAAGTTACACTTTTCGTAAACTTTAAGTCAGTTTTAAATTAGAGCAATCCAATTTCAGGATGAACCAGGTAGAGGAGGGAAGCAATTCAAGGACCAGATTCTACCTATTTTTCTTTCGCTACCTACAATAAATCGATTAGCCAGGCTGCGCCGTCGGTCTTCCATGGAACACGGTTTCCGACAAAGTTCAAAATCAAGATTTCATCTCAAACTGTTCTAGTGATGGGACCTGCTCATTTATTAAGGCTTTAAACTCAGCGTTCCATTTTAAAAACTCTGAAAGTCTTAGCCCTTCCTCGCTGCCCTCCACCTGCCTTCACCCGCCTCTGCCCAGAAAGAGAAAACATGAAAAAGGGTCAACTTGGCTCCAAAAGTTAGCACCAAGGTCATTAAAAAGCTAAGACTGCAAAAGCTCCAGAAGCGCGCAAATGCCGGGAGAACCTTCTAGAAGTACCGCGAATGATCGAGAACCACCGCCGAAAACCACCGCGAACGATCGCAAACCACCGCGAACGATCGAGAACCACCACAACCCGTCAAGAACCAGAGGGATAATACTCCCCCACCTCACCACCCCACGCCCGCGCTCTCGACAAGGCAGGCTGGATTTATAAAACAACGTGCAGAAGTTACACGATCTGTAAACTTCAGGCCAGTTTTAAATCTTAGAGCAATTCGATTTCACGGTGGGCCAGGTAGAGCGAACCGTCAAAAACCACCGCGGACCATACCCCACCGCGCCGTTGGGATTTGAATACAGGCTTACTCTCCGCAGAAAAAAACTTCTTTCCCAGGATTTTCAGGTAGCCCCGTGCAGCGCCCCCCCCCCACCCCATCGCCTCGCCCCGGGACTCCCCAGCTGTTAAGGCAAAGGGATTCCTCGACAGCGCCTCGCACTTACGCGAGGCAAGAAAGTGCGAGCGGGAGGAAAAAGTACCCCGACAGACCTGTGGAGCCGGAGCCGTTCGCACCAGCCTCAGGAAGGCACTCGGACGCTGCGACCCGTGGGCTTCTGCTCCGCGGTAACCACAGCGAAGGTTCGGGCCACGCGAGGCTGGCAAACGGCCCTCGAGCCGGAAATCGCGCGGGTTCTCGTGACGTGACTGTCGCGAATCCCACTGAGGCTCCGAACCTACGCGTGATTAAGGACCCCCGGCCCGCCCCCTCTAAGCCGCACGCCGGTTGCCAGGTGAGCGGCGAAGGCGGGGCGGCCCTCGCTGACCAATCAGCGGCCACAATCAGGCAGCCCCTGGGAGCTTGGCGTTGCTAGGGAGATAGCCGCGGGGCGGGGCTTTGCTTCCCACTGCGCAGCTGCAAGGCGTGCCCGCCTCGGAGCGCCGGGCGGCCGAGCTCGGGTTTCGGTTCGCTGAGACTGGTGGGACTGGAACCCGGCGCTGAGCGACTGGCGCGAGCCTCCCAAGCGGAGACGTTTCTGCGGCTGCGCAGAAGGCCGGCGCGCGCCTACCCCACTCTCCTTGAAGAAGAGGTGGGCGCGCAGGAGGCTGTCAAGCACGTGGCTTCCGCACTGTGGTTGGGTGATTTGAACATTAAAAAAAAAAAAAAAAATGAAATACCGCGCCGCTCTTTAGGATGCGCCACAGACGTGGACGTACACTAGGTGTGCAGTCAGGGCTGACGTTTGAAGGGCAGGATAGGCGGGGCCCGAGATGTGACCTTTGCAAAATCAAGCTTTGGTACAGATGGTGGACACATTATTTTAAAAATATAGACCTCCTGGTGTCAGGTTCGCTGCGTTTGAACCCCGGCCCCAAGAAGTAGCTGCTCTGTGCTTCAGTTTCCCCACTTGTAAAATGGGCACAACATGGGGAGTTCAGTTGCAGCCAGCAAAGCACTTAGAAGTGTCTCACACATACACTCGCTGCATTATAAACGGCACATGGAAATGTGTAGTGACATCTTGTCGTGCGCATATCAGGCTGCCCCCTCTTCGGAAGCAGGCAGTCTAATTAGCACAAGCAAAGCCAGAATCCCGACCCAGAGAGGAGCTGCAAGGAAAGTACGTTGGAGATGTTCTTTTTCTCCTCTCAGACACTAAGGTGAATCCACAAAGAGCCCATTGTGGAGACAACAATTTTAGGAAATTTTTATTCTCTCAGTTTTGCTATAGTACTTCCCTCTTTTATGTTCAATTCCCTGGAAACATTTTATGAAACCCCAAGAATACAATCACATAGCAAAGAAGACAAACCAGTTATTTATTTGCAGTCACGTTTATTTGCAGTTTCTATACACACTTTCTAGGTAATCAAACTTTTCTGGTACACTTTTTTTTGAGGGGTTCACGATAAAACTGTCACCATTTTTACTAAAAATAAATACAAGACTTAAAGTGTTGCACAGCTCTAAAATATACAAAGGCTTGGATTGAGTGTAAACGTTGAAAACATCTTACAAAAGAAACCATTTTGCAACAATTTAAAAAGTTCATATTTACAAATATTACAAAAATACAAAATGGATGCAAGTCCATAAACCATTGTCTTTTCGGCCAGCATGAACTGGTTCTAGTACCAAAATAGTTACACTTCTACATAGTCTGAAATCTTTGTGATGATCTAGTTCTCTAAGTCTGCTGCCACTGCAGCAAATGCACTCACTGACCTTTGGCAAGAGCAAACAGTGTCTTTTGTTTGCTAACACTAGTCCATGTCCTCTACTTAGCCAAAAACAAAACAAAACAAACAAACAAAAAAACACAAAATAAGGAAAAAAAATCCCCCCCACATCACAGACCTGTTGTATAAACATAAAAGAACTTAAAATTAGCATCAGTGCAAACAACAGAAGAAAAGTTTGGATTGATGCTCTTCACAATACCTAATATGTGTGTACCTTGCGTCAAGATGGCAGTGATGTTGAAGACAGCCCTCTAAATCTTGGTCTTACGTGCAATATAATAAAGTCATGTAGAATATTCCAGATTACTAAGGAATTTCTTGCTTTTCATTTATTTTAACTCAGTTTGTTACTTAATGCTCTTTTCTGCAAGTGAATTTAAAATTCATCTTTATTTGGGTATTTTTTAAATCTATGAAATATAAAATAGAGAAACTCTGCTATAGATTTTTATAGAGTAAACAAAATAAGTGAAACTATATTATAAGGGTTAGTTCTGTGATCACTACATATAGAAGGTATCTTATTGCCTCACAATTCAAGTCAATGTGTGTTTTAAAATATATGGTACTATTACTTAAATTGATGTCAGTAATAAAAAGGTGACATTTTTATTAAAGCCAATTCAATGTGTTTTCTAGTCAAGATTTAGAATCACTTTTAAAGCCCACATACCTTTCTTTACGCTTACAAAACCTCTAACTACACAAAAGCCATACTGCAAACGAACTGCTTTTATGAAAATTACAAAAGATCACCTATTGTGACTGGAAATCACTGTTTCTTATCGCATTTCTCTAAAAACTTTATTTTTAAAATTTTGCCAAGTGTACTTTTCAAAGCATGAGAAAAAGTTACTCGTGTTCCCATGTAATGTCAAACCACGCTGGTTTTCTTAACGAATGGGTTCCAATGAGAAATAATGGTCCAGTTTTTCAAACCCCCAAACATTTTTCTTTTAATAAAAAGTGTAACACTTTGTCAATGTTCAAATGTACCTTTTACCAGGTAGCTTATCTATCCCAGCACGCACGCGCGCGCACGCGCACACACACGCACACACACACACTCCCTCCTCTACCCCGCCACCCCCAGCACCCATTTTACATACAGAATGACAAGAAATTAAAAAACACAATTTGATAATAAAAACAAATAGAAGCCAGACTTTTTTGTTCTTTTCAAACGAACAAAAAACGAACAGCAATCAGATTCTGTAATTCTTAATCGGTAACATCCTAGAAAGTGTTTCTATGGAAAGACAGCATCTTCTTAGACCAGGCCTTCTCCATATTACAGAGTGAAACCGAACCACAAGCCGTCCACACATCCAGCACTCCCAGATCCCACTTGCATAAGCTTAAAGACGCTGTGTGTGAATTTCTTGGTAACTCTGGTGTGTTTTAACATTCTAATCACATTCTATCCTTTAAAGGTCACAACCCTTCTTAGTTCTCTCTCCCTTCTCCCATTCAAAACATAGCCTAAGTACATAGCTGCTTACATTTCCGACACACCATTTCAAACACTAGTATCAGTTCATGTTCAGATCAGAAGTGTAAAAACCATTTTCAGATTTCAACTTGTAACTACATTTTTTTTTTCAGTTTTAAGACAAGAAAATTCAAGTAATTTCAAGTAATTCAGCTTGTTTCCCTGCCTTCATTTGATCAGAGCACTCGCCCTGACATTTCCTTTCCCACCCACCACCCCTCCCCTTTCGCCATCAAGCAGATACGGGTCAAATCAGACATCCGTTGTATGTAGTGTTGTGAACCAGAGCCACGCCCCGTTCCCAGTTGAACAGTGAATATAAATAATGCATATACACGTACCTACTTCCCAACTACATTGTTCACAGTGTCATTTCTGTTCATTTTTAGGTAGCATGAATCTCATCAGCACAGAGAGAAAGCTCCACTGAAAACTCACTGCAGGTACTTACTGATAAATCACCAGCTCTGTGGCATGCTTATGTTTATTTTTGTTAAAGAACCTGGAGCTACTTGCTTAACTGTTTAAGGAGTTTAACGATTATAGTCACTAGATTATGACTGTGCATGTCCCCAGCAGCCTAATATAAAACATAACCTAAAATTAACTACTGTTTGTCCTACTCATTCTCTTGAAAGCAATCCATTGAAAAATGAGTCTGAAGGACAGTGTCAAATGCTGTTGTTCAGGGCTTTGTGTTGAGAATGATGATTTCTCTCCTTGATTTAAAAAAACCAGAAGCATGCTTTGCATCTGTCCAAATCACCACATGGCCAGCCACTGCCACGCGTTACTATTTGCTCGTTTGGTGCTGCAATTTGTCACCAAAATGGATAGGTCTGAATTCACTATTTTTAAAGGAATCACATTTCAGTATAGGACCTCAAGATTTCCTTTATTTCACCAGTTTAAAATTCATATTTGAGGTTTATCACTCAGAAATCATATTGGTGGACATTTGAATATGGTATTTGATATGAAAATGGTATTCACAGAATACAATTATTACACTTTATTTTTGTGTTCTATAAACAATTGGGGTGCGGAAGATACTTGGCCGCATGTCCATGCGTCAGTGATAAATCTATTTACACATTCTTATCAAAAATATGGTATTTACATGTGTGTAGTTCTTTCTTCTAAATTTTGCTTTAGTTCATTTGAATGTAAAAAAATACCAAACCTCCGGAGTAATTTCATCTTCTTAAGAATCGTGACAGTGAGGGCTTTGTTTTCTGAATAGGCAGCTCTGGAAAAACTTTTTCTAGGTTTCACGAAAAGCGGACATTTTTGATTTCTGTAGTATAAAAGGAATGAGCTTGGGTGAATCAAACTAAGCTAAAGAAAACCATGAGAGACAGCGCAGCTACTTAAACACACAGGAGGTGGACAGGACCGACCAGCCACCTCCTGCTCACCCACCAGGAGCCCGCAGGTGGTCGCGGGGCGGCTCCAGGGGGCGCCCCAAGCGGGCTCCGGCCCTAGGTGGAGCTCTGCGAGGAGCGGTCGTCGTGCGGGCTGCCGTCGGAGTTCTCAGTCTCGCCCTCGGAGATGGCCTGCATGGGCGCGTTGTACAGGCGGCAGCGCACGCTGTAGCGGCTGCTGCTGGCCGCGGGCGGGGCCCGGGACCGGCCCACCCTGGCCGAGGCCAAGTTCTTGGAGGAAAAGCCCTCTGCGTTAACTCTCGGGGGGCAGGGAGAGAGCGGGGACAGGGCCTCCGGCCCAGGCGCCCCCTGATGGGCCTCCTGGGGGCTCAGGGGGGACTCAGCTGCCAGCTCCCCAGGAGGCTTGGGCAGGATGGGGCTCTTGAGGATCTCCGTGGCAGACATGCGGTAGCTGGAGTCAGAGCGACTGCCTTTCTTGAGGAGCAACAGCTTGAACTCTTCGTTGGACGTGTTGGACTTTTTGGCATTTCGGTAGATGAGGCCGGGCGACCGCTGGCTGTTGGGGGTGGCCGAGCTGGCCCCGGATGAGGTGACGGACGCAGCGCCGCCGCTGCTACTGCCAAGAGAAGCCCTGGATTTGCTTCGGACAGACATATCCCCAGAATCTTTTCTTCCAAGTACTTTCCTCTTGGACCTTGTAAAAAAAAAAAAAAAAAAAAAAAGGAAAGAGGAGGCAAACAGCTCAGTGCGAAGATTTTATGAAGTGCAAGTGGTCAGCCCCACCATGCATCCCTGTCAAGTGCATTTCTGCCTTCTCGCTCACTGGATACTGGGGCTCTGGATTGGGGATGGGATCACTTTGCACACTGAGGGAAGTAGCAGGTGGACATAGATAGCTTAGGTGCTAGAAAGGACGGTTTCAGATACTGGCTCATGTGAACGCTGGAGTTTGCAGAAGACATGTACAAGTGTGCACTGGTTCTCCATTAGCCGGGAAAGGGAGTGCTGCTGTTTGTCCTTAAATCTGCCTGCGCCACCCAGATAAAATGCCCTGCTGTCTGGTGTTCCGATGACTACCACAGGGGCAAAGACGAGGGAGGACGGGCGGGACAGGCTGACGGCTGATAGGCTTGCGTGACGGGTTTGGGAGCACACGCACGCTTTACACGAGCCTGTCTGTAAACGCCTCCATATGGAAAGCTCCATTATACGACTTTAAACACGATTCAGTCCATTTGGGGTGCAGGTACCATTTTCCACAGCTGTCTAGGAGCATCAACTGCAAATTTGTCAATAAGCCACCTTTCTGTGAGGAGCTAAAAACAGACCACTTCCGGAGCACGACAAGGTCTAAACTCTCAAAGAAATAAAGGCGAGCCTGTCACTGGGATGCAAATGATCAACCCTAACCAAATGCAAATCTAAGACTGTCACCAAGCTACTGAGTCTGTGACACGTAGGCCCCTGTTCCACACTCCAGTAGAGTAGAGATTTCAAACGAACATTTGCTTTTAGCAGCTACCGTGTTCTAGAGGTGAAGATGGCATTTGATGATCAAACGAAGATGTCATTGGATTGTCAAATTGGGTAAGTGTCCTGGGGGAAAGGGCGAACTTGCAGGTGTGCGCCTTGGTTTCAGGGGACAGATGAGGGGAGGGGAATGGCCCACCCACAGCACACTTCTTATTCCTGAGCTTTAGGGAGCGTGACTTTCAGAGAAGGCCAGTGTTATTCAAGAAATGTAAATTTTAAGAAGTGCGGAGGGGACCAGTGATTAGTTTTCCTGAGCTATGAAATGGGCTTAGACAGTGACGTCTCTCCATCTTGGGCTTTGTCAGTTTTAGAGGGTCGGTACACTTTGGTCTTTACAGTGTAGTATTATAGCTTTCAGCATATTTTTCGGTTCCAGAAATGATTCAGAAGTTAGAGATGACACTAGAGTTTGAGCTTTCACTTTTCTTATTCACTAATTGTTTTCCAACAAAAACCTGTTCCAGAATGTCTTTCCTAGGGACAAGATGACATCTTCCCTCAGTAGTTCTTATGCCCGTCTCTGGAATGAGACTCTGATCTCCCATCTTGAACATAAGCCTATTAACTTGACTTGGAAAAATAACTTTACTTTGCTTTTGTCGTTGTTGGATGCAAGAGAAATACACGGGACTATCCCACCTTTGCATCTAAAGAGAAGCTCTGTGAAAAGCAAGACCTTTGGTTTCCTCACCTGTGAATGACTGCAAATAAATCCTCCGTTGTTCGAGGTTTGTTTGGAGACACGAGGTTCGTTTGGAACACACCTTCCCCTTCCGCCTGACAGTCTTCACTCAGCGGTGAGGTCAGAGAGCCATCTGGTGACGATTCTTAAATGAAGAATAAAATTATCTTTAGGAGGAAATTACCCAGCAAATTACCCTGCTGGGCTTCCCTGACTCAGGGGACAAAGCAATGACAGTTACCTTACTGCCATTTTTATTCATTCATTCACTCATTCATTCATTATGTAACACTGGTTTACAACACTGTGACTCAGGGGAATAGGTCCACACCTCCTCAGATGTATGTCACCCCAACACAGCCACCACCAAAGCACCCCTTCATCCACTGTCTTTACCCTAAACCACTGGGTCCCCTCCCTGCCTAGTTCCCTCTCCCCGCCCCCATTTGCCATTTATAAACTGAGGGCGCTGTCTGTCACAGCGTGGTTCCTCAATAGCAAAAGTTCGATCTCAATTGTTTTGTAGGTGAGACGAAGTAGTGGAGGGAAGCAGCTTCCTCCCAGGGCTGCTCCGATCACGGGAGTGTGAGAAAGAAAATGCTCAGGAAGTGCTAGCCACCTCTCTGGCCTGACAGACAAGGTGTCCGCGACTGACCTTTCAATGACGCTTCATCCACGCTTCCAGGGGTCTCCTCTGCTCCGCTGTTCTCAGAGGCACTTTTGGCTGAAATACCTGAAGCAATATTTTCCTGCTCAGAACGTGGTTCGGGGCCTGAATTTACAGCTGACAGCTCCGCTTCAAGGCTGGTGTTCCCAGGCACTTTGTCATGGTGGCGGCTCACGCCAAAGGGAAGCCTAAGTGGACCGCTTATATCCACGGCTCCAGCTGGCAAGTGTGACTGGGATGCGAGCACACCCCCAGACTCAGGGTGCGCACCGTCCTCCCGACCCGCACAGGGGGCCTGCTGGGCCTGCAGCCGGGCTCCACCCAGACCAGCTCCACATGGCATCATCTTACCATCCAGATCACTGGGGCGGGCAGCGGACACCCTCTGGAAGCCTTCTGCAGGGAAGCTGCAGTTTGCACTCGGCGTGCTGTCGGGACCAGGTGCGCTCTCCGCGTGCATCTGGTCTTTTGTGACACTGGAATCTGGAAGATTGCTACCAGCCACGGGTACCGCTTCTGGCTCGCAATGGCTGCTCACATGGAAAGCACGGGTTTTTTCTAACTGCAGTTTCTCTGGTCCCACCTCAACAGCGGAGGAGTCCAGAAAGGACAGGATGGCTTCCTCAGTGGAGTACTGGCGAGACAATGATTTCTTGGCCATGTGTGGCCTGCTCTTGCCAGGACACAGGGCCGCCATCGGGAGAGCTCTGTCCTCTAAGTAGGGGAGGTCCGCGCCGTCGCCTGCTTTTTGCTTGACTTCTTCGGCCTTGCTGATGGACCTAAGGCTCACGGATTTCAGGACTGTTGGCGTAATAGCGAGGGACAGCGGGGGCTGGGCCCTCAGCGCTTCTCCTGCGGCGCTCTGCTTCTTATGACTGAAGACGTGCAGGGGGTGGCGGTGGTGGAAGGGTTTGTTCAAGACGTTGTGAAGAGCACTTAGGTCAAGATGGGTCGGAGGTATAACTGGGAGCTCGAGATCCTTACTCAGTGAGAGAGTCCCATCTTTCAAACAGGGCTGCTGTAGGGAGGACTTCCTTTCTGGGACTTTGGGTTTTCTCTTGCTACCCCCGGGAGACAACGGCCCAGAGAAGAAGGCGGTAGGGAATGAGGATGTTGGTGTCTCGGATTGGCTGGAGTAGCCGCTCGACGGTGAAGCCAAGCCGGCCAGTTTTTCTGGCGAAGCCAGTTTAAACTCACTGTCCACGGAAGGGAGGGAGGGGGTTGTGGCTCTTGATTCTGACTGGGACGTCTGGGACTCAGAGCTCTCCGGAGACTTGATGCACTCGACGACGGTGGTGCTCGTGGCCGTGCTCGAGTTCGACAAAGACCTGTAAGGGTCGTTTGTTTTTAAGTCATTGAGAAGCCAGAGGTCTGCATAGTGAGTGGACTCAGCACCTTCGTCTTTGAATGGTGGGATATCGGACGCGTCCAGCTGAGGGTCCTTGATGCCATGCTCATTCTGGTTCAGCCAAGAAGGTTCCTGTTTGGGGGCGAGACTGACACTTTCCATTCGAGAGGGCGTGTTGGAGAAATCAAGAGGCAGCTTCATTTCCCTGGAACTGTGAGGCAGGAGCTGGCCACTGATTATCTTTGGTTCTTTCTTCTCAGAAATGTCTGCGTTTCCATCGGACTTCCTCAGCGAAGAGCTACGCTTAGGTGGGGTTGGCTTTGCCTTTGGTTTCCTGAAAGAGATGCTCGGCCTCCCCTGCCTCCGGTGGTCCAGGTAGTCCTGCCAGGCACAGTCTGGAAGACTAGGGGGAACCGCAGCCCCCTGGGCATTCTCTGGGCCCAGGGCTGCATAGTGGCAGACGTAACTCTTGCTGCCTTTGAGGCCACAGTCAAAGTGCATGGAGGTGTAGTATCCTTCCGTGTCCACCGAAAAGTGAGAGCTAGTGTCTGCTTTGTCTGACGGAGACTTCTCCAGAAAGCTGTCATAAGTGGCCATGCTCGTGAAGCTGGGGCAGCCCAGGCTGTCGGCCTTGGGATGCTCAGGACTGAAATCCTGGCGGCAGGAGGCATCGTGATGGTGGTGCAGGTAATTCCACTCGCTGTCGCTGGTGTTGCTGTTGTTAGCATCATCCAGCAGATCGGCCACAGTGGAGGTGAAGGAGTTGGCCCGGTGGCCTCTCGCTTTATCCAGGTGCTCACTGTACTGCTCTGTCACGAAGACGCTGGCATCCTCATTTGCATGAGGCGTCGTGTTCAGGGACAGCTCCGAGTCACAGTGTGAAGAGCCAGTGAGGGGAGGCGAAGCCGCGGGAGGGATGGTCTCTGAGGTCTGCGAGGGGCACGTGGAGCTGCTGCCGCTCCAGTTGCCGCTGGATGACTGGTGGTCATCCTTCTGGTCCATGTGGCTGCTGAGGAGGACGCCAGCCGTGGAGATGCAGTGGATGGGGCTCCCGAAGGTGTCGGAGTTGGAGGAGATGTCACAGCTGCCAGAGTCGGCAGTCATCCGGGACAGCCGCGACCGCCCTCTCTCGCTCGGCTTGTGCTGGGGGCTGTGCAGATGTTGGGGACAGGCCAGGCCCATGGCGGACTGACGCTCCTGCGCACTCGGGCTGCTTGGGGCCTCACTGCACTCATTAGAGATTCTTTCTCGGTCACCCCCGAAAGGCTCCCCCTCTTCATATGCTGAAGGTTTAGCACCGACTTGGGGTTCAGTGTCCCCACCTCTGTTGCCCTCCCGGGGAAGGCTCCGAGATCTCGTGCGGCTGCTCACGGCAGCAGTAAACATGGTGTCGCCTCTGTCTGCCAGCGCGGAAATGTTCCCCGCCGAATGCGAAAGGGAAGCGGCGATGCTCTGACCCCGCTGGGCTCTGATTCTCCTCCTGGACGGAGCAGCAATCAGAATGTCTTCCGTTTGGCACTCGGAGTCCCTGGTCCCGGACCTCCTATTGACAGTGTTGGAAGGGTCTGGATTCGTGTGCACAATCACATTCCTCTCCCTGGCCACTGGTGACTCATCAGAATCTAGGGCACGTGGAAAGCAGAGTGAGATGTTTTTATATCACCAGACAACCAGGCATTCTTAGGAAAAGTCAAAAGTCTTTGGGGATGCTTCCTCTCTTTCATTTGCATCCAGAAACACACACACACACGTCCAGTGCATGTGTGTATGTGTGCAGAGAGGAGATTTCGCTCTCCTCACTATCAAATGACTTTGCTCCAGTAAGTGATTACTATTTTTGGAGCTAAAGTATGTTTTATATGCTTGAGCACTACTCTTTATTATCTTGCACTATACACATAATGATAAAAGAAAATCATAGAATTCATAAGAAGAAATAAACCTCTTATTTTCAGGAGATGCTACAAAACAACAACAATATAAGAAGAGATACCCTCAGCACAGTGAACAGCAAAAATTTTACAAGTGTCACCTTTTCAATATTCAAGATGTAATTGCGGATGCTTGACTAAGGAGATTTCAAATAAAGATATACTTTTGTAAAAGCAACTTTCATTAGATCTTGTTACTTTCTTATCATAATGTCCACCTAGCTAAAACATTTCAAAATTAGCCAAATATTACATCAGTCAGGAGACCTGAATGGAGATACCTAAATCCATTCAAAGTTTAGAGTCCAGAGCAGAAATTTAAAAAGCAATCCCACCGGTTTGCTGGATTCAACAGCAGCAGTACATGCCGTGTCAAAAGCTCTCCAAGTCTCAGTGCTGACCTCCTAAGAAAAATCTTCACCCCAACAGAATGTGAGCCATTAGTACTTGTATGCCGCACCTATCTCTTGTTGGACTCTTCTGGGGATGCCCGAGATGGTTTTCCGCCTCCTCAGCTTTCGTCTCCGCTGTAGTACGGATTGTGAATGAACGAGAGAGCAGCGTATACTAGCCTCTCTGTCAAAGCCAACTCCTGCAACCCACAAATAGTTCTCATTAGCGTTAGAAATGGCAAACACACTTTATTTGCTTGGAATGCAGTGATACGTCTTGGCTGGGCAGAGAGGAAGAGCTTGGCTACAGCTGCGAACCTGGGTAAGGTAGGCCTCCTTCGGCCCTCCTTTACATGAGACTGCAGCATGTTAACCTGCACGTCCACAAGCAGTCCCCACACCAGCCTGCACTGCCGAAAGTAACCAGTAAAGAAGGAAAAGAGGAGAGAGAATAACAGCACAGCAGTGCTCACCACCGAAACGGCGCTCTAAGGACTTGCAGCCTTCAGTGACCGCTATTCGCTGATCTATTTCTGGGCTTCCCAAAGCCGGTGTCATTGCGTGGCAGCTCCGTGGCCAAGTTGTTAACGTGAATTAGTTCAGATAACACTTCCTGAACCACTTCTTCATTAAAAGCATCTTTGTGAGGGCTGTTTCCCTTCCACCCACTATGCCCACACTCCACACACACACACACACACACACACACACACACAATACACACTTGCCGTGAGGAAACAACAGCCTAAAGATTTTTTTTAAATCACCATGTAACTCTGTTTACTTTCCTGCTGACTAAATGGGATGCTTTTCAGTTTTGTATCGGTGTCCTATCAATATAATATAAAAATACAAGGCAGCCCCCAATTCTGCACCTTACATGTATTGACCTTCTGTACCAACTGTCAATAACACTGGTGTTCCGGTCTTTACAAGGTATGTCTGTTTGCTTTAATGAACACAGGGCAAATCCTCATGCTTGTTCCTTTCTCTCTCTACAATCACAGTGTTGACACACATGCTGTCCTATCAAACCTAGAGCCTGCGGGTGGGGCGGGTTGGGGGGACTCAGAAGCCAGCCCGGCCCCAGTGCACACATGGTGTTTCAGAGTGAGTGGTGCGCAGACAGCCTGAGACCATGAGTGTTTTGGAGTCAGTTGGCCTCATGCTTTCTCTGGACTGTGAAGCGTGGCGCAGGGTGGCAGGTCAGGCATTGGCTCAGCTAAATAATGCAGCAGTTTGAGGTCTGCTTAGCATCCCAATAACAACAGCCTTTAGAATCACTTTGAAAAGTCACTATGAGATATGATGAATAATCACATTATCACAAAAATCACACCAATGGAATTTTCCACTCTCAGTTCCAGCTAAATCAAAATCCTTCATTCTAATTGCAACAAGCATCCAATACATGGCACACAGACACACACACTTTGTGTTACATGATTCACAGCTTTCTCATTAAAGCTCAGGAAGCCACATAGAACCTACACGTTAGTCTGAGATTCCTGCATTAAAGCAGAAGGAAAGAACTTGTCCTTCTCTTCTCCTGAACCGTAAGACTGAAAATCAAAGAACTAAATTGGAAAACAAGACTTTACTTACAGTGCCATGGAGAAAGCTGGTGCAGCTAACAGTCAGATGTCCCCAGAACTGAACGTTAGCTTAAGGGGGGTTCCAACATGCTCTCCTAATTCATCCCATTTAGATGACCTAGGTCAGATAAGTACTTACTGGTCCTAAGAATAATTTACCTACAAGTTCAATAGGTCATCAGGAACATTTCCTCCCACCACCAGCCACAACTAGAATTCCTCCTCCTCTTTTTTTTTTTGTTTTCAGGAAGGAAATAACATCTGTCCTAGAAGCGAATGTCCCATCATTTGCTTCCCGATTTATGCAAGAGAAATCTGAGTTGGCTTCATAATAGCCGTGTCCACCACATATCTTGAGCAACATGCAATCTGTCACATGACACAGGATGCAAAGCAGTCACGAGATGGCCTTTTTGAAATTTTCGCTACACAAAATAGTTAAAATGTAACTAGGAGAGATGTTTAAAGAAAACCCAATGGCTCAATCATTTAACTTCCACCTTGGAACATGAGACTGTTCTACTTACAACTAAGACTACTAAATCCGATTCAGGAATTTATAGTTGCTACCTAGAAGCTTGTGAAGAAATGTCCGACAGACTGGCATGTGTCCCAGCCACTCAACACACAGGAGGAGGAGGAGAGACGAGCTCGGTCTGTTTAGAGTAAACTCAGCCTTCAGTTATGCAGCCCCATATTTTTAGGTCAAAAAACCCGTCAAATAAATGCAGAAGTTTAAGTAATCTTTCAATCAAGTCTGCCTTCCTCAAAGGCCACATAAAGACAAATCTTACAGCTGACCTACAGGATCATCACCTGCAGCTTAGAAACCTCAGGCTTGGGTTCGCGTCACCCTATGATTAACCACTGCCGCTGTCTCCATGATTTCAGTCAGCTACGGCCAAACTGTTATTTGGTGACCTTTTTTTCTTTTAAAAGAAGCTGTCCGTCGTTGACCTAGCAAGCAGCCTAGCAGAACATATGCAAATGGCTGCTCGCAACCTCACACGAGCATAATGAACATCCTCTGACTTGTATTCTGATGACAAAGGCATGTATGCCCTGTGTACCAAACAGCATGGAACGGGCACACCTAGCAGCGCGGGGTTTGAAGTGATCTAATACACACACATGCTGCCCCGACACCCCCGAGAACAGAATTGAACGGTACCAGTGACGTTGATGGGGATAATGCACGAAGAAATCACTTGGGCATCTTGCTTCATCTTCTCCTCTGGTGTGGGCAGGGGTAACGCTTTGTTCCAGTTGGTGTGCTTGTCCAGAGTTGAGGGGACATTGTGTACTGGGTTTTTCGGCCTCTGCCCTAACGTGACCTCCGTATCTTCATCGTCCGGGGGGTGGGACTGTAAATGAAGCACATTTGGGCTCAGCCATCGAGACCTGAGCATTACAGTTTAATGAAGCGACTCATGTTTAGTTAAGAAAAAGGAGGTCAGAAATAAGCTTTTAGGTGAAGGAAGAATTCCTAGAAATAGGAAGCACAACTAATTACAAGTTATTTCAATAGTTAAGCAACAGAAAAGGGGGGAGAGGGTTTAATAAACATGCTGTTCAGGTCAAATGGAATTAAAAGGAGAGACAAGATAGCCAGAAATCCTCCAACTTAAAACTGAAGAAAAAAGAGCCTGTAACCCAGTGAGAGGCAGACCTACTTTCTGGACATCTATCTTGCCACAAATTCCTGCTGAGTCTTGAGAGCTCAGGTTGATCAGGGTCAGGGGAGATGATGATTTAGATACCCATGAAAAGATTCAGAAAACCTGGAGTCAGGAGACATTCCAGCACATATCACCAGAAGGACAAGCCAGCCTAACCTGACAGGCAGGACTCAAACACAAGGAGTGACTTTCACTGCAGAAATGCAGACTAGTGAATTTCACTTTTGAAGCCACAATTTCATCAACACCCAGTACACATGGCAAAGCCAAATGATGCCTAGGAATCTCCCCCCACCAACTATGGAGGAAAATATAAATGCGGTTCTTGGGGCTGCAGGGACACGATCTAAGGGGGTGTCTCTTTTTCAAACTGAGCACAGTGAAACAGTCCTACTGTATTTTTTTCAGCTTCGCAGTGTGAGGTTTCCCTTGCGACTGTGTAGTCAGAGGCCTAAACTTATACCTGACATTTGAAAATTCTCCGTTTAAATCTTTGATAGATATTTCTGTTATCTAACTTTTAGTTCAGGGTTGAACTCCAAGGCCATATTATTAAAAAAGATTTCATCTGGATTCTGATTTCAAGTTAGGTCTCTGAAGCAGATGATTAAGAGACCCACTTTCCCCAATGGCCCTAGTTTTATTTCTTTACACCATTTGGAGAAAGAGAGGTGTGAAATAAGCATTTTCCTCTTACTCCAGTTCGATTTTAATAATATTCTATTCTGAAGTCAGGATCATTCTAAAGACATTCTCAACCTCACATTTGGAAGCATTCCATGCCCTGCTGCCTCGGAAGATTTTACATATTGTCAAATGAACGGTGTTCAAGTCCCCTTAAAGAGAAGATTCCAGAGCCTTATTTCAAGTACTTATTTCAAGTAGCCAGTTCTTATTTAACGTAACCCCCAGCATTTGCTTACCTTGTCAGCGGTATCTGCAAAGCCCCCCAACACACCCAACAGAATATGATTCCCCCCTTGGAAAAAAACGTGTTCGCCATGAACGTTTTAGTAAAACATTGCAACCTTCTCTCTCTTCAGCTTTTGTGCAGTTTGCCAGTGAAGCGAGTAGCTCAAGTAAAGTTGGAGCACAAAAGACTTTGTTTCCTAGGTAACTTCCAACAAGAAAAAAAGTTGGTTCATGCAAAAAGAGACAGAAAGAGAGGGAGAGGGAGCAAGAGCTGAGCACATTTTGTGGGCGATTCTTTCCTTGAATAACAATGCAGCTGCACACAAAGACAGACTAGTGACCTCACTGCAGACGGAGCAGCAGCCCACAGCACTTTTTATTCGGTGGCGACAGGGACAACCGGCCAGAGAATCCCTTTGTCCCGTTCCCTTTTCTGATTTGACAAGCTGAGGCTTTAGGGCTCTGGTAAATACAGGGCAAGTTGGAATTCCTTTCCTCTGAACTACAAAGTCCAGGAGTGGTGTCTGGAGCACAGCTTTGATTGTAACTTGAGGGGTGGGGGGACCCCATGGGGAGAAGGCTGGTGGTATGGCTGTCTAAATTATATTTATTCCAGTCAAGATAGGAAAACACCGCCCTTTAAATTGATTGAAAACAAGACTAGTTAGCCAGTTAGTTAGAAGCAGCAGAATTGGCCATAAAATTAGAGGAGCGAAGAAAGTGAAAGTGTCTAGAGAGAGTGGGATAGGCCGCGATGGCACGTTGTCGGGATCAGTACCTTTCTACTCCATGGGGCCATGTGGCAACACTCGGTGGGGGAGGGCGAACGCGTGCTGTTAAACTAGGAACATGGAATGCAGAAAAGAAAAATGTAAAAACCTGCACCCAACACACAATTTACCCTGGTCCACTCTGCCGAGTCTATGATATTAGTGAGTGAATATACTGGGGCAACTCACCCCTTTCTTTCCCCCCTCTCTTCCTCCTCCCTTCCTTTCTTTCTTCCTTCCTTCCAGTTGCATCTCTGTTTCATGAGACACAGTATAAACCGTGATCAGGAGCACAGACTTTGGAGCTGAACTGTTCAAATTCTGGCTCAACCACATATTTGCTATGTGACCAGGGGCAATTACTCAACCTCAAAAGCTCATCCCAAAGATAGGGGAAATAATAGACGCTACCCTCCAGGGATGTTTTGAGGATTAAATGAGTAAATACAGGTAACAGACTTAGAAGAATCTGGGTAGTTAATAAGCTCTGTGCATACCACTGCGGTCGCTACTCTTACTCACTTACCTTGTGGCTGTGAAACCGTCTCTGCAAATCATAACTTTTTTATCTTTTACATCCCAATCCCACTTGCTAACTTGCATTACAGTGAGTTTATTTTCCTGTGAAATTACTTGAAATAAGAAAGGAAGGACTGTCTTAAAGGAAGAACACTACATCTGGTAGATAACTCCCTTCTCTGGACTGCTTGAAATTTGCCTCATTCACAAACTCATAGAGCGTATTTGAAGAGAGGGCTGGCTTCATGGCCACGGGGCCGACCTGGTCACACGGGGCCCATGCCCAGGGCTCTGAGCTTGATTTAATGCTGTCACTGCTTTGAAAAGTTAGTTTTTCAATAAGGGGCCCTGCATTTTCATTTTCCACCGTGCCCCATAAATTATGTCGCCGGCCCTACCTGGAACTGAATTCAGTGACTAGAATGCTCTGGCCTTGTCTACTGCCACACAGACTGGAACTCTTTTAGACCATGTCCATGTCAGCATTGGGTTCGGCTGGGCTCTGTTCCAGCACTGTCCACACAGCATTGCTTTAATGTGATGTGAATAATCCTGGGATGTGTCTTTTTTATCTATTCGAGATAAATTCCTAGCGGTCAGGAGCCCTATTTAAATCTTCCCTTTTTTCAGTCTTCCACAACACTGGCAAAATGTCTCTCCCGTTGTTTAACAGCCCAACCAATTTCTTGTGCACTCGGATGACATCACCGCTGTGACGGGAACCCGTGGTGCCCGGGGCCTCCAGAGGAAGCAAACCTGGCAGAATCTAGGGGACTTACCGTCTTTGTGCAGCAGAAGAAGCCACAAGCAACACTCGATTCTCACAGAGGCTCGGTACCAACCTATGTTCGGCCTAGTTAACTCTTAAGCCTATGGCAGACTGCACTTGGGGGGAGGGCTCAAGATCGAATTCTTCTCTAACTTCCTGAGTTTTAATTACCAGGGTTGCTCATTAATTTTTTGCATATTTTGAAATAAACTTTGCTGAATTCATACCATGACCATTCCACTTACTAGTTTTATTACTAACAGCCCTGACAATTCAGTTATCTCAATTATAATTTGGAGTGAAAACGTAGCCCTGCGTGTTCATGATATTTTTAATTTTATAAAGAAGAGGTTGTTCATAATTTTTTTTTAAAGATTTATTTATTTGTGCATACAGAACTGGGGTACAGGCCAGAGACCCAGGGATGGCGAAGAACTTCACCAGAGACAGAGTGGGGAGCAGAACAGGCAGATCGACGAAGTACACTGCTGAGGGGAGCAGCAGGTGGGTCAGGAGAGGTCTGCCTGCCTTGTGGTCACCTCCGGGGCAGACGGGGATCGAACTCATGCGGAACCAGGGAGGGCCTGTTCATTAATTTTTTAAGCAAAACAAATGCCATCTCTTTAGGCCCATTTAAGGTTTTCTTCTTCATATTCATCCAAACACACACAATTTTATAGCAATGGACACAGCAGTTGCTGCACTGGATTAACTCTACCAATGTGAAAATAATGACCCTTAGTCAGACTGTGGAGCTCACAACTAAAAGCACAGTTACTAGCACAGAGAAATTGCCCAGCGAATGCTTCCCAGTGCTCCCAGGAATAAGAGAGCATTTAATACAAGAAATCCAGAATACAATGCAATTCACTTTGACCTAGAGTTCATTCAAGACACATTATTCGGAAGGATCTGTGCACTCCCCGCTGAAAGTGGCCACTTGACAGCTGTGGCATACGTGGCTGGCTCCAGGCACTAACCTGACTCTCTGATACCATCGGTCCCTGCAGCGATATGCGGGCGGCAGGCCAAACATTAAGGAGTGCAAAGTAGAAACCTCTCGGCAGCCGGAAGAAGGGTCCTAAAACAAGACCTACGTGGGCAAGAAGCTTTCTTCCAAGAAACCAAAGGTCTTGATGTCTCATGCAAGTTTCAAAAATGACACAGCATGAAACGGCAGAGCAGAGAACACATGGATGTATTGCTATTAATCTATTACTTTGGGTAGTCTGAAATCCCTGATTTTTCCCAGGAGAGGTGAGCAGTGGTTTATTTCTCGGCTGGTTGGGAACATTCCTCCCATCCCGTTGAAGAGTCACACCGAAACTCGGGGAAGCAGCTAAAGGGGGCCAGAGGAGACAGAACGCAGACGGTCTGCTTTGGTCCCCATCGTGAAATCGAGGTTTCCATGGGTGGGCGCCACTGAGGCCCCTCCCCACCAGCGGCTCCGCTACTCCAGGAGTCTCCAGTGCCCGGCTGTGGGAGCTAAAGCGGGTGCCCATGAGCTGGGGTTTGCAAGGCGAGTGCCCTGGGCTCCACCACCTACGCACAGTCCTCATGTCTGTCCAGCTAGAGTAGTTTGTGATACAGCTAGAGTAGTTTGTGATATTCAAATGGGCTACACGTTAGTAACTGCCTTTGGGGGTGTTTCAAAGCCTCATCTTTCCTGGGTGTTTGGTCAAAGGAAGCAAAATTGTTGTGATTGTTTCCGATTGGATTTTTATATGGTGAACACAATCATCAAGTCAGAGACTTTTCCCCCAAATTATCCGCGAAATAGAAGTGCAGGAGAGCTGCTGCCCAGGGCCTCTGTACGGCAGAGCGCACTACTCCTGAAAGCAGCAGGTGCATCAAGTCAGGCAAAGCCGCCTGCCGGCCAGGCGTGTGAGGACCCACTGAATGCTGCTGCTTATTTAGAATAAGGCTCGCGAGAACAGGAGCCACTTCTGTTCAGAACTGTCTTCCTACTGCCTCAGTAATGCTCCACATGCCTGGCACAAGCAAACAAACATCCCCGCTAAAGAAATGGCATCCAATCACATCCACGTTGCCTTTTCAGTACAACACCCAGCACAAAGTGAACAGTAACAAAGCAAGGAGGAGGCGAGTCAGCACGAGCCAGAAGCGTCCAAGACAACAGCTGCTAGAGGCAGACTCATAGGCCTCCTGCTCTGAGAATTCCCACTCCATGCAAGAAAACAGCAGTGAACAGGGTCGCTCCCCCAGAACAAGGGTCTGGGAAGCTAGAGCAATTAGTCACTCATTCAAGATCATATGTGATGAGGGTCAGAATGAGGCTCCGTGGAAACAAACTGTCAGCTAAATCATTTCTCCCTCACGAGTAGATGCATGTTCACTGGAAAATTCTTTCAACTTTTCACAATAAAATGTTGGAGAAAAGGCGAAGAAGAAAGACGAAGAAAATTCTCTTTCCTGAGAGAGAGAATTTCTCTTTCCTGGCTCCCCTCTGGCCCTCCCGCTGCTGGCTCTGAAAGGCACCATGTTAGAGCCAGCCAGCACCCATGTCCAACTTATCCCTGACAAAGAGGCTCTTGGATGCTTTTGCCCCATTTCTGTCCTTACTGGGCCCATCAGTTATCCCCTAAATCATTCCCACGAAACAGCTTCAGTGAAATCTACGGAGGCCCTCTAGACAAGCGTTCAGAACAAGAAATGACAGATATCGGACTGCGAAGAAGTCAAAAGAAATGCATTTGGTGCCTAATGAAATATTTTCCAGCCCCCAATCTTCCCCTGTGGCGTGTGTGTGATAGAAAAGTTCATTTCTTTACTTTTGTGGAGACGAACAAACATTTCTGCAAAGATCTTAAGATTTTCTTCAACCTTCCCCTTCCTGCCAAAAGAAAAAAAGAATCCTTCCACTCCATATTTTACCTTCTTTTAGGTTTCATTTTATATGCTGAGGGGGGCTTATTTTGCTGCAAAACTTTCCAAAAGACATCTGTTAAAATGTTGTGGGTATTCCAGCAGGAAATGTTTTGAGAAATTGGCTTTGGCTCGTGATCTAACCAGTACCACATGGCATTTATAGCAGTCGACTTTCAGAGCTGATTTATTACTATCATCCTGTCTAAAACATGAGAAATCTTCATGGAGGGTGGATGTCATGATCTATTCGGAAACAGGCATAAAGCGTTAGACGGAAGAAGTTCCTTGCGAGCCACACCCTGTGTTCCTCACGACCTGGAACATTACTCTCATCCCACCACAGGACTTATTTGCCCCTTCATTTCTGTTCCTATTATGGCCTGTCTGTGACACAGAGGACCCTGTCCGCCTCACATTTTTTTCTTCTCTGGAGAGTGTGCATGTGTTACACATAAATATGAGGTGCTATGATCCTTCTGGAAGGCTTAACGGGGTCTGGCAATGCCTCCTTCACATATCACTCTTGCTGCTACAATTCCATAGCACTTTTATTCCCTTGAAACTGTCGCAAAGTCTGTGATTTTATTTTCCAAATATGTTTTTTTTAATTTTTTTTAGATTTATTTATTTGTACAGAACTGGGGTACAGGCCAGAGATGCGGAGGGTGAGAGGATTCACCAGAGACAGAGTGGGGAGCAGAACAGGCAGATCGACGAAGCACACTGCTGAGGGGGGCAGAGGGCGGGTCAGGAGAGGTCTGCCTCGCCATGTGGATCTCCTCCGGGGCAGGCGGGGATTGAACTGATGTGGAAGTGGCTTAAGCTTCTTTGTGCTGTGCTTTAACCTGCTGCGCCACCTGGGAGGGCCCCAAATATGTTTTATAACATCATCTG